TAAGTCAATATTACGTTTTTTTCTCGCTGACAAAGGCAAATGAAGCCATGTTTTTGCTTACAAACAAGTAACATCTTAACGCCTTGATCCGGAGCCGTGCGCCGGAGCGCAGAGCATCAGAGGCCCCGGGATCCGACCGTAGCTCGCGCGTATTATTTATCAGATCTGGACATTTGTTACGGGATAGATGATCGTTTTAAAAACCTTTTACTCGGGATATCTTTTTTCGCAAACTTGTCAGCAACCTGCAACTCTCCAAAGAGTGAGGACGCAGCGCAAAGCCCGCAGGAATTATTTTTGAAGACAGGTAACCATAAATATATATTTTAATAATGATATGAAATGATACATCTAGACATTTTAGTCATGTTTTAAACATAACTTTGATATCCTCCTCATCCTTGTAATATTTTATACCCGCACCGGGAGCGAGATTTTCTTGGCGATTAGTTTTCATATTTTATGATTCCTCGATTATGAATTAAAACGTACTCTCTCAGCTGCGGTCAATATAATCTATTATCGTTAAAAGTGTATACTCGTTTACTCGGTGTATTTACATTGTGAGAACGCTTCGTTGATGCTATGGTTAGAAATGGAGAAGATGCTGTGTTTGCCCTTTAATGTTGCTCTTCATATAAATGGGAATAAACCAACTATGGCGCTTTCTCAGAACCTCCGCTCTGCGTGTTTACTCTCTGCTCTGTTGGTGTGTGTGTGTGTGTGTGTGTGTGTGTGTGTGTGTGTGTGTGTGTGTGTGTGTGTGTGTGTGTGTGTGGTGTGTGTGGTGGTGTGTGTGTGTGTGTGTGTGTGTGTTGTGTGTGTGTGTGTGTGTGTGCGTGTGTGTGTGTGTGTGTGCTGGAGAAAAACACTACACTATATATTATTGCTGTGGATGCTCTCTCGGAGAACAGAGTGGTACCTGAGTGTATTCTCTCTGTCCTCTAGTTTCACCTTCTATATCTCCAGGAATAAATTAGCTCGTGTACTGTACTCTTCACTACGCGCACATTGCACGCACTGTTTCCCCTCTTTCTGGTTGTCACAGTAAAGTGTGATATCTATCTGGAGCTCGGCACCAGATTGTGTTATTCCGATATGACAGTGGGCGTTGAGCAGGACTCCCCTGAGTGTGTGTGTGGCTGCACGGACAGATGGATGGATGGAAGGATGGAGTGTGTATGAGAGGGAGGGGTTTTGCCATTTGATCCTCTGCAGCAAAAACAGAGATGCTCTCTTCAAATGTCAGCCGCTGTTTGCGCTGCGCAGATAATAAAGTGCGCAGAATGAACCGCGCGCCCGAGCTGCACATTTAGCCCGATGTAAGAGTGCGATTCTCCCGGTGCACAATGTGAGCCTGTGCGTTGTGGGTTGTTTTTTTCATCACTACCCCCCCCCCCCCCCACCCCCCTCCCGTCCTTTTTGCTTTGCTTAGATGGCCACGTAATGTGCTGTGTGTGCGCCTCGCGGTCTGTCAGAGCACCTGCGTCCTAAGATGGAGGAAAAGAGATGAGGGATGATACTCGCTGTTATGTCACCCTCAAGTTGTTGTAGCAGCCGAACACTGCTGCTGAGAAACTTCAGCTGTGAGTTTAGATGTGAGAACATCATCCAGCAGGGAGGACTTTACTTCCATAACAGAAATGCTCTCTTTACAAACTGTGAGACTGTGTTTTCAAGGGAAAATGTATTTGAGCTTTTCCGGGATGATTTTTGGCTTTTAGTCACAGCGATACTGAAAAGTTGACTTTAATTAAATGTAGTATGACAACGGATTTCACATAACTGTATTAGGTTAGTTCAAAGCAAGTTTAACCGAATATTTTTTATTTAAACCTAATATTATTGCTTTAAACTTGACCTTATAGTTATGTGTAAATACATTTAATTAAAGTAAATGTTTCATTTTTATTTCAGTGTGGTGGCCATAGAATGTAAATAACAGACATCTGTTAGGCTGTGGAGTTTTAAAAAAAAGTGTTTAAAGCTTATCAGCTATTAAGTTAATGAATGAAAATGCACAGAAGGACCCTTTAAAGTCTATTGTTGGCTTAATGCATAACGAACACTGAGCTCAGATTGAAAGCATCATATGCAGAGATGATAAACTCCTATTGTTTTTCTTCTGTTTACTTTTCCTGTGAAATGTAGCCTAGTTCCAGGGGATTAGAGAATGAGGTTATTGGTGCCTTATGCTGTCAGTAACTACAGAGTGAGGAGCTGCATGCAGCACCGGCCCTCAAATCAACTTGCTTCTGTTTTATTGTAGTCACCGTGATAGGAGGAAACGTCTCTATTTATGAAGGGCTGAATGGCCCGTGGTGAGGACAGCAGGTGCCGGAGGAGGGAGCGCAATAAACATGTTGGAGGAGCAGCTGGGGCCAAATTGCACCCTCGTCATTCAAAGCCTATCAGAAATGTGAGAGAGACAAGCAAAGGTCAGGGCTGGCCCCTTTCAATAGAGAGGAGGCATTTAAAATGAAAGCCTGGAAATAATGAATTTCATGCCATGCGTTAAAAGGGGAATAAATAAATCAGAATTAATTCAAAAGTAACAATTAAGTAAGTCTAAATGTGCATACATTTTCCAGTGGGCAGAGAAAAGCATGACATGCAGAAATATGCAGAACATGACAGAGTGCAGCTGCAGCCTTCAGGTGCTCTCACTACAGTTGGAGTTATGTTTTATATACGCAGCAGAGATCCGTTTGTTTCTCAGATGCTGAGGTCAGGCTGGCCCTCAGGGGAGCTCCTGCAAAAGCTGGTTACCATGGCGCCGCCTTCCCTTCCACACCCACGCCCCTAAACTCCCGTCCCATAACTGATAAAACCACCCCACCCACCCTGACAAAACACTTTAGTTACATCCGCTCTGCTTTATTTCTCCTAGCGTGAACATTTAAGTGAAGGTTTTAACAAAATCTGATTTGTATTTGTCTGCTTATCTGAAACTATGTTCACATCTGCCTGCAGATAATCTGGTTACTTTTTTTTAACCCAGTGACACAAAGAAAGCATTGAGTAACACGAGCGTCCCGCTGCACAACTTCTGATTTCTGTGTGCTCCCTGCTCTCTGTAATCACACTAAGTTGTCTCTAAATCCTGCTTAACAGGAGCGGGTACAGCTGGCCATGCTGCACACTAATACTGTTACAGACAGTCCACCCTGGCATTTCATCTAACTATGGGTTTAGGCCTCTTGCCCCATTGTCCCTGTACAGTAAGCTGCGTGCCCATAATGGTATTACTCAACTTTGTTTCCTGGTAAAAGATTTTGTTCGTATCAATGTATCCACTACACGCGTCGATTCGTTGTGGGGGGTTTCTTTCAGAAAACAGGACAGGTTTCTACATTTAAAGATTTTTTTAAAAACATGGAATATTGGTAGTAAAATAGTAGGTATTTAAATCCATTCAATCTGTATTCATCTCCCCCTTCACCCACTTGTGATTATCCGAACCTCCCCGGTGAACGGCTAATTGTCTCGTACTCCTCCAATTTTCACTGCAAAATAATGAGCTGCGAGTCTTAGTTTTAGGTGCGATTGAGCAGCATCTGATCAAAGAATAGGCACGCACATATCCTGAGCAGAAATGACTTTTAATGTTTCTTTTTTCATCTGCGGAGCATCCAGATGTTCAGCTTTTCAAATGAAACAACAGATGAAAGTAGAGAAAGGTGCATAGCAACCTTTCTCTGTGATTCATTACAGGCTCAGAAATGAGATACCTCTGGCAGTTCAAGATGTCCTGGTGTGTTTCTGTCTGTCTGAACAAAGTGAGCAGGGATGCTGACACATGGCCTGAGGCAGCGTGTCCTAATACTGCACTACTGTTATATATTTGGCATTTAGGAAGGGCTCTCAGCTCCTTGGCCCCCAAACTAACAATACAGGACGGATGCTCACTTGAAAAGAGGAGAGAGGGAGAAAGAGAGATGTGTGCAGACGGAGAGATGGGGATGCAGTGGAACAGGACTGCTGCTGTAAACAC